TGCAAGCAGTGCACCTTATCGTCAACTCTATATGGAAGAAATGGCCTGAGGTGAAAGTATTTACAGTTCCTAGACAGTGGTCATTGGCCTGGCTCTCTGGTCGGTGGCCTGAAAGGAAAAAAAACTGGAAGATCAGAACACAAAAGTCTGGCGGTAGAGACATTTTATGTAAGTGAATGTCCACCAGAAGGGGTCCATCACGGAAGGAGCCCCGAACAAGTAGACAAAATGACTTGGCCAACGGACATGGGTCAGATTGCCACTGCCACCTCAGAACTAGCACAGTTGGGCACACGAACGGAGCACGTTCATGCAGTAGCAGAGACAGAGGCATCCAACCAGGACACCCACTTCCCAGTGAAGGAGGTGGATAGAGTTGGCCCCTGCTCTGACTATGACTATCACACCATCCAGAGGAAGTCAGCTCTATGGAAAGCAGAAGGGCCAATGGGAGGCAATACTATGAAAGCATGGGATGCCAGCCTACAAGACGCAGTATGTGCACTAAACCAGGGACTCCTGTCTCTATAGTGCTGTTCACTTAATAGGAAGAGGACATCAATCTGAGAATCAAGGGTGTGGAAGCAGGTGTTGCTTCAGTATCATCACCACTAATGACCCACTGGGGGCTGGTGCCTCCTGTCCCTGCAGCTCTGGGCTTTGCAGCCTGGAGGTTCCAGTCCCCAAATGGGGCATATTCCTGGCAAAGGACACAGGCTGTATCCAGTGAACTATAACTTATAGCTGCTGCCAGGGCACTGGGGACTTTTTGTGCCTAGGAATCAGCAGTCACCAATTGGGCAGGGATAATTAACCCCGACCATTAGGAGGAGATAGTGCTGCTTTAAACAACGGAGGCAGGGAGGAAGGAATGTGTGCATGATCTGCTCCAGCAGCTTCTTGGTACTTCCCTGCCACATTGTAACTGCTAATGGACTTGGATGGCAACCACAGCCCGAGAAGAGTATGATTATGAGATCAGATCCCTCAGGAATGAAGGTTTGAGTCCTACCACCAGACAAGTCCTGCCAAGGCAAGTCATGCTAAGGTGAGGGGTCATTTAGAATGGATGGGGGTGGAGGAAGAGGAGACGTTCCCGTTGCGACCCTGAGATCTAATGCAGCGTTGGGGGCATGGCTTTATCCCCTAACTTCTCTTTCCTGAATTTTCCCCTTGCGAAGAAAGGCCTGTGAGGACCATGGAGAGGGTGATCCTCCCACTTAGAAGGACATGTAGACCTGTGCTGTGCAAACAGAAACCTGTGGTGGCCCTGAAAAGGCATCTCTCAGATTTCCTCCTTTGGGGCACATAAGTGACCCACAGACAAGCTGCTGTGCTCTGCTATGCTCTGCAATCCATCACCAAGTTGGTACTGAGGTTGTGCTTTGCCATGGTGGCTCTCAGCCACCACACTATGACTGAGTGTGGCAGAGGAATTAAGCCAGCCCATACCTGTAAGATGCCGGCTTCCTCTGAAGGGTCACTTTGGCTCCAGGACTGCCCATCATTTAGTTAAAACTTTCTCAGAACTGTGCTGAAGTCTAAGAAGTAATTTTCTTTTGCCCTTCTTCCCTCCCTTCCTAGTTTCTTCTGTCTTTTCCTTCCTAGGGTACAGACCTGCATTGCCTTGTGACACCTCCATCAACTCCTCCATTTTCCCTTAGTGGCATTTCCTCTAGTAACTCTATTTTTACATACAATCCCATCTTGGCATCTGCTTCTTGGAGGACGCAGACTTACACAGATGGCTTCTATATGTTCCTGAGATGTCAAAGGCAGAGTGTCATATATGCCAACCATGTGCACTAAGTCTTGTCAACTGGTAATGGCTGCTAGGAGTGCTGAGCTGAAAAAGATTCTAGAGCTGTATCTGGTCCATTGGAAAGAATTCCATGACCTATTGATATGTTCTGCCCTGTGCGCAAGGTAAGAGGGTTTTAATCCTTCATTAGTTGCTACTGGTGAATTGGGATGTTCTTAAAATCTCCATCAAGAAGGGCTGCAGCCTGAGGGATATCTGTTGTATACGAAACTTTTGTTAATGATGAGTGGTGTTATTATAGTGAATGAATAATGCCAAGTATGGCTAATTATTACTAATAATGATGACTGCATTAGTAATTATGATTTAATACATAATGACTATGTAATATACGAATAATGTTAATGCTTAATGATGAATGAGAATTATATCACTAAGGAGCCTAAAATGATAAAAATATAGTATGTAGTTTAATTATATTGGTAAGAAATAATATTTTCACACTGAAAGATGGAATCGGAAAAAAAGATACAAAACATAAGGGCGTGTTAGTGATCTCCATCTCTGACTTGGGATTACTGCTCTGATGAGCTAATGTAATGATTTCTGGTTCCTTGTGGAGCCCATCATAACATGATGAGGCTGTTCATTAATATTACTCATTTCCTTTTACCTAATTTTATACTTATCAAGCAACGTCCTGATGTTAATTAGATTTTATAAGTAGACTTTCCTTCCAGAAAGAGAATATGCAACCAGTTGATGCAGGTCTTCTAATTTATTTAGCATTTATTTCCTTCCTCTAAAAATCATTTTAAAAATGATAAAAGTAATACATGCTTATCAATAAATAATATAAAGAGTTGTATAAAGCAAAATTTGAAGTCCACTTCTTATACACAGTTTCCTTTCGGTCCTACTCAATGGGAATAACACTTAATTTTTTGCTGTAAATTAATTTTCTTCCCTGGGTATCTGATGCTCAAGGTGTTTTCTTTATGATCTTGTTTAAAAGAAATCTCTTGTGTATTTACTCAGAATGAACTAACAAAACTGCATTTTTACATACCCCAAACTGAGGGCCAGTTCTTTCTTTAAGAGTCTTTTATATTTTCATTAGCTGGTTTTTTTGTTAAGTCTTTTATGATGGCAAGCATTATGCTCTACAGAAAGTGTAAGCTTTAGGTACTACTCACAGACTATGAGACCAATTTGGGAGAATACGTACAATGCTGTGCTCATGCATTATATGGCTTATGCAATCTTATAAACTACCACTCATTTGTTTTTGCATGAATTTTCACTGCCCTAACAATAAACTGGAGGGTAAAAAAAGTGACTTTAGTCTTAATGTGATCTCAGTATGCACCCACCTCAATGGTTTAAAAGAATTCATGAAGAAGACAAATCTGAAATGATACAGGTTACAGACTGACATTTTTTTTTTTAATAAGGGCAAGATTATTATTGTTGGCCATTTTCAAATTCAAAGCAATTCCTGATGAGAAAAGTCAGTTCCCTAAGATGAATCAGGTTAGGCTTTTAATGTACATGAAATTTATTTCAAAAGATGTTCCTCAATGGAGAATATCTGGATCTTTATTGAAATTACTTTCATTCACAGATTTACAGATGACACCTTGAGCTTAAGATCTTCAAGGGAAATTATTATCTTAGGAACAGAAAATACAACTTACCAAAATAATATTGATAAAACTAAAGACAAACATAATTTTATGTAACTTTTAAAAAGCTTAAATAATTAACTTAAAGAGGGAGAGACTACATTATCTTCATAAATGAACCAAACTTACAAAGTATACTCATTTTATTTAAGGCTGATTTTTAAAGATAATTTCATACAAAAAAAAACCTGATAAATTTTGTGAGAATAATTTTTTTAGGTGGGACAGACATTATGGTGAACAATAATACATAAAACTGGTGGCTATAGGTATAAAAATTAGAGATTTTTTCATGTAGACTGAAAAGTAGATATTTTTCCAAAAGCAGTTTTTTCTTTATTCCTTTCATAAAATCAGAATTAATTTTTCTTTCAATTAACAGGCAAAATATTACTGCAGAAGTAAAGATATTCTAAGACATTCATAGACTTACTTATTTTCTCTCTCTTTTTGATGAAAGAAGACCTGAAATTATTTTGTAGCACATTTATTGTTTGCCAGTTTTCATAGAATGGAATGCTGTAAAGATAGTTACAAAAATATACAGTAGAAATATCTTTGGAGAGGTTGTGATTTAGTAAATACTGCATTTGTTCAAGATAGTCTTGGAGATGTTCAAGATAATCATATTGGTTCTATTCTGTGAACTTTATTTTCTGATATTAGAAGTTAGACATGATTCAATAACTATTTGAGGCAAAATTGCTGCACCTACACTCTTTATAAAATAAAAAACCACAGCAGCATGGGAATGTCATTTCAGTCATTAGGCCCATGAGATTAGATGGACAGGTTTGCTTGTCTTCTATTTGAGATCAGTGATTGTTGCTTAAGGAGCTTTATTAGATTGATTTTGATCTTTTCTTTTGAAATTTAAGGTTACCCATGGGGTGGACAAGAGACCAAGATTAGAATGCAAATTTGCACACTGCTTTAATATTGACTTTATCTCTAGTTTGGGACAAACAGACCTCTGCCCTCAGGAGGATAGCAGCTTCACTTGTCTTAATGCTGTGATTCTTAGTGCTGATGCTAAAATTAAAAATCCAGTAAGACCATGCCATTCTGGCATATGGAATCAGTTTGTCTTGGAAAGTTCCAATTTTATTTTATTTTTTTGTCCATGTTTTCATACATGTGAAGTGGAACTTTTACTTTAAATGTCATCATACAGGAATGGCCTTTTCAATATCATTTGAGCAATAATAAACGTTCTGAAGGCATACTTTTTTCCATGCAAATGTTATCTCATGGTTCAAGTAGATAATAAAACCTTATTAGTAACATACTAAAATAAAGGCACTCAAACAGCACATTTTTGGTTTTTTCAACATACTAATTTCCATGTCTGATGGGTCTAGTTTTTGTAGATCTAACATAAACTTGCTTAAGGGAACTAGGCCAACTGGATTTAAATTCCCATACATACCCCAAAATTTGGGGCATAAATGAAATAACAAAATAATCACATAGTAAAATCAACTTTTGGTTGATCGAAGGGCCCGGGAGAACTAATCTGCTTTCTGAAGAATAATTAAGAATCCAAAGTAATCACACATAGAAACCAGTTTATTAGATTGTCAGTGATACTTTGAGACAAATTCAAGTTATTTCATTTTACTTTATATAAACAGAGGAAGGGAGGAAAGTTTTAAACTTCAAGCTTTGTTCAGCATGTGTGCAGTTAGCATCCACAAAAGCACCATTGGATATGGAAGAATTAGCACCACAGAATTTTAGGACCTAACTGTTAACATGCATCACTGGAAAACTTGGAACATAAAAACTGAAGTAGTACGTGGTATGGTCTATTATAAACAGTACAAGGCAATTTATGATTTGTTTTCATACAGTACAATACAATCACCAATCAATGAGAACCTTTAAGTACAATACAGGACAAAAACACTTTGTACCCTGTTAACACTAAAACAGTTACAGATTCAAAAACATGTTTCTTGTGAGAGGCAGTGGGTTGAAACTATACCCTCCTCCTCTTTTGAAATTGAGTTATAGAGTTACATGATCTCTTAAGAAAGTATTTTCAAATCTATGTCTCTCTACCTCAGTGCTGACAAATGGTTTTTTTTGGGAAACTGAAAGGCTCAATGAATTAGAACCAAATCAAACCCAAACCAAAACCTGTTAAGAGTCAAGAAGTACTCCAGGGTGGTGGAAGGTATTCCACTCGAGATCGGTTTGAAAAATGACGCCAATGGTGTTGACACTTGTCTTCCCTTCGGTGGAGGAATGTCAAGTAAAGAAGCCTTGCATTCACGATGAACTTCGGTTCATTTCGTTCACACAATGCCTTTATTCTGAAGTGTAACATAAGAGACTTATTCCTTATTCCTCAACTGTTTTTGTAGTGTCATAGGGCTGTTCCTTATGCTGGATTTGACAACAGTGAAAAGGGTTGATATTCTCTCTGGATTTAGGGAAATTTGAGCTAAAGAAAAAATATTAATTTAAATTTAGCATATATGAAATTTTAAAGGGAGTTTCACTATTTTCACATTTTCACAAACCCATAATGAATATCACTGAAAACCTTTCTGTTAGAAAGCATGTAACAAACCCTCAATTTTAAGTTGTGTGGAGGCCAATTTTGGCATATTAGAAGATACTGTATAAGAAATGTGTAATAGGAACAGATAGCTACAGGTATATTCAGATCTCAATGCACTGATGCCAAGGAAAATATATTTTTACTCACCAAGAGAAGAATATACCTTGACGCATCTATGCAGACACATGAGTCAATCATGTATCTGCCCAACTTCTAATTCTGGAATAGTGATAACAGGGTCATTTAAGAAAAAGTACTCAATTACAGTACGGCAGCAATTTTATGTTGTATATATTTAACAGCAAAACATTTTTGAAAATAGAATCAATATTATACGGTAAGTTTACAATTCACCATTGCTATACTTGTAATACATGCGTTTATTTGTTTTCCCAGTTAAAAAAAAAAATCCCACTAGGACCAACATCTTTCAGAACAACAATCTAACATGAAACAAAACCTCCTAAGGAAAATATTCAGCATCACAGAGATTTGAGAAAAGTTTGTTACTCAGCATCACAAAATACTCAATAGATCTACATTTAAGATTGTTCATGCCATGACATTAACACACCTTTGGGTTAATATATCGTATTTTAAAAAGATACCAAGATACAAACCAAAGAACTGACATGGAATTTATTTTTAGCTTCTCCTTGATAAGAGAAGACTGCTGATAAACTTGACTCCTGTCTGTACTGTGTAATGATAACTGCGTCTATGAAGCAGCATTTACATTTAGTAAAACACTTAAAACCGGTGATAGAAAAATGGCCACCACAAAGAAAGAACTAAAGATAAGTGTAATCATAAACCAGTTTTTTTTTTTTTTATTAAGTGAACTGCCCCCAAACAAAAAAGAAAGCAAAGTTTGTTTGCTGTGAAATATTCTTCTGTTAAAAAACATTCTTGGATAAAAGTTAGTCTATTTTTTTTTAAATATCAGAAAGATGTAAGGATGAATTTCAGAAAAAAGTTAACTTTTGAAAAAAAAAAAGGATCCTATGCCTTTTCCTCTGAATCAAATCCCTTGTATAAATCAACTATTAATTTTCTGAAGAGGGTACAGCAGTTCTAGAGAGCTGCACATCCACATTCCTGATTTCAATTTGATAATTTGCCAGGTAGGGCTGACTTGAACATAGAAGAAACAAGACTTGTTTCCTAATGCTTTAGAGTTACATTAAAAAAAAAACAAAACCCTAATAAAGAAAATTGAGTTATGACAGGCTGGCTTAATACTTTCGATTGCCCTTATAATTTGACCAACATTTCAACACAAGGTAGAACCAATTAAAGATAAGATTTAAAAAAATAAAAGCTGTCTAAAAATCGCTCAATGAAAAAGCCTCCAAATTTTACATTTTAACCTCAAATGATTATAGACTTAGACTAACAGTTTTGCTGTTCTCACACACACTTGTTTCTCTAGAGTTTTATTTCTGAATTGTTCACTGGTTCTATCACATAACACAATTTTCTATTAAGTTAAAATAGTTTGAATTATTGTATTATAAGAAGCTTTAGAAAAACACATAAGTAGGATAAATTTATAAAAGGATAAAGAATATTTTATGGGATTTTAGACAAATTCTATACAGACAAATAGCTAGTTCAAGGTAATAAAGTGCCTTCATTTCTAGGTAATTAATTTTTCACTAAAATATTTTAAGGCTTTATAAGAAACTTAACATTATCAGAAGTGTGATAGTATACAGGATTATGCTATTAATTAGCATTCTATCATAGGTCTTATTTCATTTAATCTTTAAATTCATATTAGGTACTTTTTAATAATCAGCAGCTTAAAATTATAAATCTGAATTATAAATTCTGAATTCATTTTGTGAGGAAAAAGAGAGATGTATAATTTCTCAATGCTGTGATTTGTACTTAAGACTCACATGTGGCTTGTGAACAATTTAGTTTATGTCATAATAGACAACAGGCAATGGTCTCAAAAAATTCAACAGAATATTTATCCCATGGCCATCAGGGCCATCATTTCATTCATTCATATATTCTGTTGTCTCTACATTTAAATGATTGCACAGCCTTAAGTATAAAAGGCCAGAGGAAATCTAAGATAAATTCTTCAAATACAGGCACAATGAGTATTTTTTTTTTTATTGCAATAGCTTATGCATAATCTGAACTGTATGCCAACATCCAATGTTAAAGCATTTATATTGGTTTTCGGCTTGCTTCTACTACCCATGGGTGTATCACAGTAAAGTACTGGAAACCTAACAGAAGTGTATACAATAGCTATAATCATACAGAACTCTATTTCTTCTTGTCATTTCTCTTTGGAATACATGAGGGTATTTTAAGCAATCTGTGTAGTTAGTTATGTTGACAGCCCCAGATTTTAAGATAAATTATGACTATATGGACATCAACTTACTCAGTTGATTACAACCCATACAAACTAATTAAAATGTTCAAATATTCTTTTTCAGGAGTTTAGCTATTTTTATCAGAAGATTACTAAAGCCAGGCACCAGATTAGATGTACATGACACTTAAAATGCTTATCTAACTACCACTGGATGAATTTAAAATGTTTCTTAAATTAAAGGTTTTTGAGGTTAGGAGGGAGGAGGAAAGTTAAAATTCATTGAAAAGAATGGTTTAAATGAAATGTTCTACATAATTAGAGAAACAGGAACTACCAGTAGGAAAAAGTGCCAGTCTTAAAATTGGGTTTGGTTTTCAATCTAAAGCCTAGTAAGAGTAATTCCTGGCGATTAAAAAAAAAAAAATCAAAATGGCATAAACCTTTATAATTGCACATTCCTTTACCAAAGTGCCACAAGTTACCAAAAAAATCTTTTTAAATGCATACGATGCTACTTATCAAAATCTAAGTACACATAAGTTTTACCTTTTTCATAATAGTATAGTATAGTTTCACAAACTTATCACAAATATAACCGGGAAGAGGAGTTATAATTTTCTAAAAACAGGATAGTGTTTTTTTTTAAAGATAACTGTTAGAACCTTTGTCATTATGAAGATTTAAACCCAAGTATAGCGAAAGCATTTCCACAGTATCAAAAACATCACGAGAATTTATTTAAGCGAATTTTAGTAGTATTCTGCCATGCAATGCACAGACACCATAGCTTTTTCTTTTTTTTTAAACACTGGTTTAGTTATCCTGTTTTAATCTGACTACATATTATACTTACTCTCTTTAATCGTTGAAGTGACAATATATGGAATAACTGAGTTTTAAAAACAGCATTAAACATTGAGGTTTCTAGCCCTAACTGCTTATTCCTATTAAGTACGGCAAAAAGGTCTGATGTATGGGTTATTAATTTTCATGCTTCTATTTATTCTAAATGGAAATGTATAGAGATAATATGATAAGGACATGAGGATGTTAAAGATCAGAGCACAGATATGGAGCAAATAAAATAATAAGCAACTGTATAGAAATTTTCCATATAATTACATTTGTTAAATCAGGGGAGGACAGTAAAAAATAAGATCTGTTTACCAAGCAATAATTATATTAATATGCTTTTAAAAAATCAGTGGCACATATATAAGATAAGATTTTTAATATTTTTGTTGTTTGAATGTGATGAAGTTAAACTACAGAGGTATGTCATTATAAACTGAGACCAAAAAAATTGTTCAGAGGGAAAAAGAGAAGGTAAGATCATGATTCTCAGTGACAGGTCACCTGCACTGTATTATGTGACAGGCTAAACATTGTGGTGTAGTGCCTCATTTAATTAGGGTGAAAGTGCTGACAAAAACATAAAAATGCAAATAATAAAATTAAGATTAGTTCATAGTCAAGGAACACTCAATGACTATCAAAAAAGAACCCCTTCTTTTTCCTACAGTTCAAGAATCTCCATGTTCAGTGTAAGAATGTGATCATATAAAAGCATTTGAAAGAAATGCCCAATTCAGTAAATTCGTCATCTTCTGAGGATGGAGAATGGGATGTCAATTGGTATCCTAGTCCTCTGAGAGAATTAACAAACTTTAAAAAAAAGAGGTAAAATCAGAAAGAATCGGTCATGATAAATCACTGATAACGACTTCCCCAAATCCAATATACAGATAGGTCAATCACAGAAAGGTAGATATTCATTCTATATAATTTAATGAATCTTCTTGTAGTTTCTGAATATGAAAATATAATCGCTTGTGGGTAACAGTTTTGGGTAGTGGCAGGGTTTAAAAATTGTTAAAGAAATACTTCAAATGAACACTGAAATGCAGAAGATCCTTATAGAAGCTGTAGGCAAGTGGAAACCCCATACTCCACATGGGATTCCTACTATCTTTAGTTCCTGCATTATCCAAAGTCATATAAATTGCATAATCCCTCTTGGCAATACACACAGATATTCTCTTGTCTTCGCAAAACCTAGGCAATTGCATTTACCTAACAGCTTTACCCTGGTAGCGGTCCTAGATGAGGACAAATACTGGACAAACCTGTAAGAGCCATTCCTACCATATACTTTAATCTTGTTTTCTATTATTCTGCTCTTTTATAGCAGTTTTCATTTCCAAAATGCCAAACAACTGATTATAATAGTTATTTCTCATTCCAGAAGGAGGGCAAAGTTAATAAATGGCTTGTGAAGTGGTGGAACCACGCAGCGTTTTCAAGATCCTATGTATCTTCTCTGTTCTGTGTGCAGTTATATCTAGCAATGCCCTCTGCTATGTGTCTATACCCCTTGAGGTCAAAGACTCAATCTTGTTGTCTGCTGTATACCTAGATCTATCAGAATGTTTAGCTCATGCTGAATGCAAAATAAATATGTCGATTTGAGGAATGAGAAATAAGACCGAAAAAATGGAATAAAGTAGCTTAACATACGGCCCCTCACCCTTGACTTCCA